CTATGATTTACCAATTCATTTTTTCTCTTTTATCGTTAATATACCTAGGTTCTTGCCTGGAGGTATTGGTGATCCACTGCTACTAGACACGGAAGCCTGTTAAGTAAAAGCTTCTCCTATTCCGTCCACAACCATTTGAACCATTTGAATCTCACGAGTGTTTGTGGATCACCACCCACCAACCTTGTCATCAATGTCATCTGGAATGTCAGGCAGTCACAAAATATATTATTAGGGCTAAAAACTTACCGATGAGGTTCACTTGTAGAAGATGTGTCCGAGGCAACAAGTTTCCCTCTAGTTGACAAAAGAAACATCAAAATTGACAAGCTCATGAGCTTCTCGCTGCTCAAAAGTAAGAGAATCTCGCCAAAAAGTTGGCTTTCCAGCGAATGCCCTTGTCAGTATGTTTTACCAGCAGGTGTAAGATACAGACCACTAATCAAAATCTCAATCGATTGGAGAATATCTGAACAAAGTGGAGGCAAATGGTGCATCTAGAGATAACCGGTGCACATTACATTATCCACAAATAACAACACATCATTTATAACCAATAGAGGAAGCTGTAGAAGATACTTATACCTGAATATTAGACAATCTTGACATCGGCTCTTTAGATATAAAGCAGACGACTCAGGGAAAGGGAAAAAGCCCTCCAAAAAGCCAATCACTATTTCGAAACCACTCACAGACAAAATGCAAAGAACTGAGTGATCAACCTGCCTAAACAGCCTCTAGAAAACATGAAAAAATATTTCCAATAAGGACTGAACTGTAACACGAGTGATGCTTCGAAAATAGAATTCGTATCTGCACCACAGCCATAACTCAAAACTTTCCGAATAAATGGAGGAACTCTGTTTCAAAAAGCAATATATCTGGAAGAGTGTAAAACCTCCTTCATATCCTCCTGTGTGAACACTAATCAACGGTCAAACATCATAATATTTCTGCGTTTATATCAATTAATGTGGACAACTGTGTACATACACTCTACTGGGAAGGTGTTGAAGTTTTGGATATAAGAAGTACATAGAACATCACGGAATATTCAGACGCTTAGGTCTTAGGTCAATCAGCAACCAACAGTACTATGTGAGTCAATCCAATCTAACAACTAATCAGGAAAATCATAGACAAATACACGACCAAAAATTAGACCAAAGGAAGATACAACCAGAATAAAAAATGGAGACCGTGGTAAGATAAAGGTCTGTAACAGAAAATAAACCCCCCAAAACGAATAGTTCCGTAGGTATTCGACATTGATACTCACCTGATTAGTTTTGATGGGCCCATCCTAGCTGACGGTGTTCGGTCACGCATCTTCAACAGACCACGAGTAGGGACGCCGTGATACGTAACTCTCACAAAAATTAGCCAGTTTAAATCAAACGCTACTCGGTATATTGATGGATTTCCAAGCATATCTTTGATCCCCTTCATTTCTGAATTCTGGTTGGACCAGGTTGATATCCGTTGATAATGGCGTTACGTGTAAATGCGTTTTCAAGCTCCGGATACTCGTGACAACTCCAGGTCAATAATAAACAATCAAAATCGAGGTTGTCAGGACAAGGCGTGAGTTCGATTCACTTCTGACTGAAGTTGACGCTGATGATGTTATGAAGAACGATGAAAGCTGCACGACCAAACCATCTAGCTCAGGAAACAAATTTTCAACTAGATCACCCATCTAGGCCACGAATCTGCCCCGCTATACCAAGTTTCCATTTAAAAAAAGAAACTGTTTGGAAGTTCCTTGAATCAACTGGGATGGTAAATAATTCTAAGTCCTGAACACCTGAAAGAAGTAGAAGGTCAATTTAAAACACTGTGACTCCAATTTTCAAATATTTACTCCGAATCTCTGTTAGTAATGTATTTAGCAGTGGTTCGGAGGATGCATAGAAGCGTTTACGATGTTATGAGTCAGAATGAAATCGCCTACGGGATGGTTTGCTTTCAGTTAGATATGGGGATTTTAATTTAAGTGATTGTAGCTTTTTTCATCACTAGATCACCAAAATTTAGCAGATTTTCTCATTCATTCGGTTGTCCATTTAGAATTAGTTTTCATTAAATAGTGGCTTGGGAAAATACATGACTTGTAGACGCACTTCTTCATTTTCTACTGTTCACTGCATTATCAATGTTCTACCTAGACTACATGGCAAGCTTGCAAGGAGTATATTTTTGTGTCAGGGAAAGAAAGTTAAATACATAAATTAATCAGAAGAAAATATCTAACATCTCGAAAGCATGCTTCGAATGACAAGCTGGGATTAGCTTACAAATGATATATTGAAAAACACTGTTGGTATCATTTTTTGTTTTAAATTCTGCGTTGGTGTTTGTCATCCCACTGAAGCTATTTTCATGGGTTTTGATCTATTTGCATTTCCGAAATTAAAACCATTACTGAACAAAAATGAAACAGTTCACAAGGAATGGAAATCCATTAAAGTTCACCAGCTAAATAGTTTGGTAAACCAAGAAATTGAACGTCCTAATTCAATGTTTATTTAGAAACCCCTATCTTATTGGCATTGCCGAGCCATATCAAATCGATTAATTTCCGATCATCACTACAATTTTATCTGTTGTATGTGGATCTTCTCAGTCTTGGCATGTTCGGCCTTGATGACTGTGTGGTTGAGAAACAAGAGAACTACACGCATACTATTGGATCCAATTTGCTCCATCAATTTAATCCACTTCATCCATCATAACTACAGCATAGTCGAGCAATATTTTACGGTAAACTTTACAGAGCAATACACAACGAATCCAAGTGTCTGTACATCTGTTTTTCATTCAATATACTTTTGGTTAAGCCAATTGTCGATGGTATTATTTTTTCGTCCGGATTTAAAACATTTATGCGGGATTGACTGCCAATTATTTTCCTGAGTAAATGGTTGCAGTATGTCTAGTTTAACTGTCCATTCTGTCCTAACATTATGTAGCGGGCATTTAACAGAATTCCGCATTACGGAGAATATTTAAAAAACTAATCGTTAATGCTCTATTGACAATGTCTCTGGACTACAAATGAATCGATGAATGTTATTCTTTCTTGAAAAGTAACGGTACGTTTCATAGAGATTTACTCCAATTAGTGCACTCGTGTGTGCATTGTGTCATTCAACTCCTTACCTGACCAGAATTACTTAGGCTACTCCAGGCAACTCTCGAATCACGTGACCCAATAGTGGTCACCACCAAATCTCCGTATAGTTTCGCGCCTCGAAAAGAATTACATTCATATGATTTGAGTATGAGCGTAGCAACTTAGACTGTGCATGTAAACATTGCTACCATATTACTTAGAGACATTCCTTTAAACACGGATCACTGCTTGGCTGCAATATTCAGTGATTGCCTTTACTTCACTCGCTACATAAACTGTAATGCAAAGGGATTACGGTTGAAAAACCCTTGGTTTCAGCGAATTTATGCAGAGTAAGGAATATTGAAATTCCGGTTGCCAAATATATTTCTGGCAGAGAACTTTCTTTTGACGATTTTCCGCCACTACTTGATATGAGATAATATACAAGTCGTTGCGATTATGATTTATTTATCTACTCCTCGCACACCTCATGAAATTCTATCTCCTACTATAAGTTGTAAATATGCAATGTGAAGGATACTCGTGGTTCTTGTGTGCCACATTCACTTCATACTTAAATCGGACCACCGATCCTCGTTGGTAGTTCACTTTCAAAAGCTCCAAGAGGGACTCTCGAACCAGATTATTCTCGCATTTTACTTCTGTGTGACTTCAATATTCCTAATCTCTTCTTTCAGGATGACAATTCCAAAATGGTCATTGATATCAGATACTCGAGAGAATTCAGCTTTTTTGTTATGGATAAACTCCCAGCATAGACCGTATTTTCACCAACCTAGGGATGGAAGCTTCCTACTTAATACTCTCGAATCTTCCTGTCAAACAGCCTTGTAACCACTAAATCAAACGCACACTAGTACTTAGCGATCTCATGCTTGTGCTAGTGATTTGGTGACCAATTCTGCTAACTACCAAATGGAAATATTGTTGGGTCATATGCATGGTACAATTATGTTCCACTAAGTGTTCAAATATTCCAGGTGGTCAACAAGATTTAATTATATGATCTACCTGGGAGAAATCCGTGTTCAGAGTTATATAGAGCAAAGCATTATGTACAACCATTTCCATGATCTTCATAGTCTCTGAAAACACAGAAATTAGTCTATATTTAAATGTTTGAGTTCATATTTCATCACACTACCTGAAGCTTTTCTAGAACTTCCGATCTACTTGTTCGCGAAAATACTAGGCTTGAGTGAATTAAAAGAAAAACAATTTTTATTGAGCTCTTGCTTTTATTGAGTTTGAATCCGATTCAGAACCATTTTAACTATTTGAATACCTTGAATGTGTTGGTTAGTGTCATGACAATGAAAGCGCACGGTTTGCTCTACTACTCTCCATCCGTCTGCAAGTTCAAAATTCTGTCTTTTCATTTCAATAGATTCCCCTGAATCCATTCTTATACACTAATAATCTTTCCGGTCGTTTTTGTCTATAAGTGTGAGCAATATTGGTGATATTTAATGAGATTTGTAATATTTCTTACTTTGATATCAAAGTTGGAGCAAAAGTAGAAATTTCGGGTGTGTTTAGGCTAAAAGTAGACAATTCAGCGACATTTGAGAGACAGACAAGAATGAGTAAATCCGCATTATTTCCCCTAGATAGGCGAAAAAGCAAACATTTTGGCGCGTTTCGCCCTTATTTCCCCTTTATTGGTTGATTGGGATGGACTACCTCCAATTTACATTTGTTTTTATTACCTATTATCTGTTCGTTATCCCTACCAAATCGGTATAGGTTTTCCTCTATTCTATTCATTTCAGACTACTGTGCCCAGTATCTAGAGCACTTCAAGTAGAAACGTGCTTGGATCTTAGATTTCAACGTGCTAACTGCAGGACTTTCCAATCTCATGTCTCACCAAGGAGCTGCACTTCAGAACTATAATAATGAACTTGTAAAATGTATGGCATTTTTCGCTTACTTATTGCAATTTTAGGCTTTGAGGAGCTTTGTAAAAGACGAGAAGATTTACAGCGACAGATCCAACAAGATGAAACTGAACGCGCTAAACTCCAAAGGGAGATAAATGTTCTCAATGATAAGCTTACCAGAGTAAATGAATCGTTGGAGAAAAAACTATCCACACGGAATGAGTATGACAGAACGATCGCAGAGTCCGAGGCAGCTTATATGAAGGTGTGTAATATCTGTTTATCACTTTAGTTTTATTTAACAGATTCTGGAGAGTTCTCAGACTCTTTTAACTGTCCTAAAAAGAGAAGGTCAAAATATTGTCCAAAAAGCAACGGCGAAAAATGTTCCATTTTAGAAAGAGAATTATCCAGTCCTACAAACTTGCAATATGTTAATTATTTGTAAATATTGTATTATTTACTACTGAAGCTGTTCATATGGAATTTGTTACCGGTCAATATTCGAAACTTTCAGTAATATTTTCAAGTCGAATTATAGTCATTTTAATAATTTTTGGCCTTGGTTTTAATAACTAAAGTTGGATCATATGCTTAACAAGAATGTCTTTCGTGATCAGCGCTTTTAAGTATGACCTTGATTGATTAGACTTTCACACCTTTTACATATAAATTAGCCTTTCGGGTATAAAATCTTGTGTAATTATAAGGTCCATGTTCGAAAATTCAATTCAATATGTAAACTTACAGTTTATATATGTGTTTTGAAGAGAATTTTTCTTAAGCACTTTTACACTTTCTTAGGACCATATCTGTCAGGTTTATTGGATGCTGGAATTACTTTATTTACATGTGGTATTCGCGCTTATTTGTTTTTGAAGAAAAAATGACCCGAAATCTTCACCTACTTACAGGGTCAAAATAGCCAAATAAGTCATTTTAGGTGGATATTATTGGTGATACAGTAGGATAGGGTTAAAGTTCCGTTGGAATTACCAACCTATAAATTAAGTTTTAAGGGCTAAAAATACGTAAATAAATATATATATTATTCATTGTCATGGAATCCAGTCCAGGATATTTTTGTTCCTATATCATCTTTTTTTGTGGATAAATTTAAACTTCTAGGATGGGTGTCAAACCGATTCTTGATCTTTTTTTGTGGTTGAATTCAGAATAGGTTATTTTTTTGGTCTTCGTCACATTGGTTTTTGCTCTATGTGATGCATAGATTATACTTTTACGAGGTTAATTTATGCAGCTACAACAGCAGCCTGTATTAATTCTTAGATCATACTACAACATCCCGAGAAATTGTATCCATCTAGAATGTGTAACAAAATGATCGTTTTACTCACAGCTTCTAAAATTATCATCTTAACTTTGTAAAATTCTGTGGCTTAAGGTTCCCGAATTCGACCACTTAACGATTTAGCTCAACCATCATTCATTGTAGTTCATCGATAACCATTCATACATGTAGACTGATCATGTCCTGACATAGCTTTTGAAATACTTTTTACAGACTTCCGATTCACTGTGCTAATAGTGTGTGCTTACGAAACATGAAATTTGTAACTTTGTACCATAAATAATTCTGGATCTATCTCATGAGTAAGTTGTTGGTCCCGACCGTGGTGGTCGGGCTTGTTTATCTTGATGACCCGACAGAGCGATATTGGCTGGAACATATTGTTATATGTTGTGACCGACGATTAGAGGGCAGTGAATTATCGATTGGACCAAGGACGCGTAAAACACGTATGAGCAGCCTAAAGTTCTGATTGGCCCTGCTTTTGGGGCATAACACATATGTTCCAGTAGGTTTTTCCATGCCAATCAGGTTGAATAGAGAACGGTAAGACTAAAAGCGGCAACTCAAGGTCTGAGGGCGAAGTCGTACTGCTGACTATAGAGGGGTGTGACAGCAATAAGTTGTTCCCCTCTGGCAACCAGCATCTGCAGCAGTGCTGCCTTCTCACAAGGAAGGAAGGGGTTAGAAAAGGTCGACACCGAAAATGTCACACCTTACCTTACCTCACGGATTTTCATCTCCGGCGGTAAGGCCTTTTGAAAAACGGAGCTAACATTTCAAAAACTCCCCACAAAAAGGCCGTGCGCGACCGGCTTCAAGAAGTTGTACCTCGGGCTCTGTGCTCACGCTGCCAGGGCTTTAAGACCAACACTAATCCAACTTCCTTTTCAGGTTCTTATAGAAATACCCTTCCACGGTGTGTAGGCAGCCGGGAAGTGATATCAGCCCTCATACCCGTAACAGCACACGAGACCAAGTTGGTCATATTCAAATCCTTCCTACACCTCCTTATAACTCTTGTCTCCACGACTAACCCTTCTCATGTCCCTTTATCACCTCGCGTGGCTAATGCAAACGGTTTAAGTATGCGGAACGTTATTCCCAGTCTCCCGCAACCACGCTTTAAAATACATGTGGGAGATTTCAACGTCCGAACATTGTGGCAAATACGACAACAGGCTTCTTTAGCTAGGACTTTAGAATTTCGCGCCGTTGATGTGTGCTGCGTCTTCAAAGCGCCCATACAGGATCCGAGTAGCATCACTCATTTGACCTCACGATATCAAAATAAAGAACCAACTCGATTCACGCTTCGTGTATCTGGAAGCCTTGATGCTGCTTCCCGTGGCCTCGCTGGTGTAGGTATAGCATTGGGTCCTAGGGCAGAATTAACTCAAACTGGATCTTAGTAGACAGTCGCTTGTGCACTGCTGGATTAAACGGAACAGTAAGGACTCAGGAAGATAGACACACTCGTCGTTGCCTATTCATCATCTCTGCCTACTCTCCTACTGACTGTGGATCAGATGATGTAAAAGATGAGCTTTACAGAAAGCTTATTGTAATTTTAAATCCCTAACAATTTTACTGTTATCTAGTGAGCTATACATTTTTGGGATTCCACAGTATATTGGTATTTGTGACAGACTGACTTTCATTGAGAACACCAGTATAAATTAATGAGCATTCATGGGCACACACGATCTCATTATTGGTTTAATTCAGGGTCTTCACGGGTCGCCGTAAGCATTTAGCCTTCAAACCACTAAATCAAAGTATAACTGCAATTTTTCAACTTTGATCAGTGTTTACCAAAAATTCTAAGTTAATTATACTTGTTCGATTATGTTTAGCTATAGAGAAGGTGTGGTGCTAGACGAAGAATTCATTGTATTCCGTAAACATAACAGTTCTGGCCTCGCAAAGGGAATAAAATATCACCATAATCTATGGTCGCTAAAATGGATGATTTTAAATTATGATCAGCTTGTTAGGAAAAGTGGGGAAAATATAGAAATATGAGACTCAGGTTGGTATCTTGTAGTGGAATAGTTAGAATATATTAAGTAATCGTTTAGTGATATGTTTATCTAGCTTTATCCTTTACTGTTGATAGATTACATATAATTAATTATGGATCAGCTTTTAGACTTTACGTTGAAAATCTCCTAGTTAATGGCACATACTGAGATATACTAGTTGGAATGCATTGTGACCCTGTATCTTATGTGTGTACGTAATTTGTGGGCTTGAATGAATACACGGTCGTTTTGATCACTTATCTAGGTCTCGAATGTTCTAATTGTAGGTTTAGGAATGTTTGGATTTATATGGCACTTGTATTATATGGAGAATGCAGTGACTTAGTGGATTTATTAAAGTCAGAAAAAATTCAATAGAAAAAGATTTTATTCAATGATTACAAGGTGAAATAAAGATTACCACGATAAGTCCATCATTTCATAGTGTCCTGTGAAGATTACCACCTGATCATTATTCGTGTAACAGTTTAATGCATAAAATCAGTTTTATTCTGAATATAACTAAATGAGATTGGTTGAAGTTAGACATTAACACCGTTGGATGGTGGCTCAGGGGTTTAGAGATTAAGCGTTCGCGCGCGAGACTCATATGTCCTGGGTTTGAATCTCGCGAGACGGGGTCATGGATGCTCACTGACGAAGAGTCCTACGATAGGACGAAACGGATGTCCAGTGCTTTCAGGTTTCCCATAGTGGTCTGGCTTCAATTGACTCATGAATTCAACTACTAGATAACTAAATGCTTTAAGTATCAAATTAATTACAATTTAAACTAGGTTCACATAGAAATAGTTGATACAAATTGTTTTTCATAACAGTATTGGTTTGCAAGTATTAAAAATACATTCGTTCCCACTATACACCTACACCTGATTAATAAAATCGTATTTAATATGAATAAATTACGGATACCTACTTTGTTAACGTTTGATTGTTAATATTGTTACTAATTAGTTTACTAACACAAGTACATTACTTATAAAATATTAAGTAGTAAACAAATTGATACAAAACTCGTAATACAAAAAATCTCCAGTTAAATAGTTTCGGGTTAGCTTATTTGAAATTCATCACTTTGAAAATTATAATCTAATGGGGAGTCTTAAAAGGTAGAATAGCCTTTCTCAATCCTTTCAGACGACATTTTCTAACATTGATCAGCTCTGTTGTCTTTGGATAGTGTAATAAGAGAACAAAGATTATCTGAACTGTATGATGCATTAGTGCAATACATTTCTAACAATCTGATCACACATATACTTGTTAAGTACATTTATATATAAAAAATAAAAGGTCAATTAGACAAAAAGAGAGTAAGAAAAGATAAAGATAACGAAGAAAATAATAAGAAAAACAATATGAAGACTCATCACGCTGGATAATCAGCTAACATTACCAGGGTATGTTTAAGGTGAGAACAAAAAGGGTTTAAATTTTTGTATAGCTAAGGATTTAATAAACTTCAGGATATTCCTTTTACCACTTTTGTACAACATCACAAAAGCCATGTTAACTTGACTAAACTAAAAGATGAAGCATTTCATCAATGGAAGTTATCTTCATTCTGTAAGTACTTCATGTAAACAATATATATTGGATATTTGCACACCATTTCTAAACTATCTAACATTTGCTTTCTAAAAGATAGTCCCTTATCAAGTCTACAACCATAAATGAATATAATTTTTATCGATTTGAGACATACAGCTTTCTTATCACATCAAACCTTACAATGTTAAAACTGTATTTGTTATTCTAAACTCCTTTGGATAGAACAACTGATTGATATACTATGGGGAGAAATCAATAGGGTTTCGTTGTCATATGATTGTGATAACCTTTATTAGTCATTTCCTACATGATAAATTCTATTAGCTTAGATGTTTTACGTATAAAGGACAATTTTAATTGCTTTAAAATATATAATAAGATAGTTGGATGTTGATTCTATCTCCTAATGCCTGTTTGGTCAGTATTTGAACGTCAGTTGAAAGAACAGTATGTGTAATAGTTCTACCGGCCTAATTAACTTAATATTCATCAGTTAGTTATCGTGTTCATTTAATAACCTTTTTTTGTTACCTAACTATTCATTTTGATTTGTTTCCTATGAACTATTTGAATATTATCCCAGGGTGCTTAATACCTGTGTATTTGTGCCATGGGATCGAGATGTGCTGTTCAGATTGTAGCGTTGAAGCCTATACGGCATCTGGTCCTCCTGTGAAGCGGAATTGAGTTGTACTGCTCGGTTTATAAAATTTAAGCCTTAGTGGTGTCTGGCTCTTCTGTTAAACGGGATTGAACTGTATTGTTTGGGTTGTCACATGAAAGTCTGGATAGTGTCTGGTTCTCCTGAACACCAGTGTAAAATTACCCTAGCCTACGAGAGTATATTATATAACTATGAACTATTTGAATAGTTTCTAAACACCCATTACTATTTATAAAACAATATAAGTTCAGTAAATGCAAATAGTTGATAAGCACTAAGTGATACTAAGGAGTATCATATACAATCCATTTTTCATTTAGATTTATTTCAATAGTTGAAATTGTGAGTCAATTGAAGCTAAACCACTATGGAAAACCTGGAAGCACTGAACAGCCGTTTCGTTATGTCATAGGACTCGTTAGATATTTTTGGTTAACTAGATGTTACACAGATCAATATCACTGAGGTACTTTGTGAAAATGTGATTAAAAGCTTTGTACTTAAGTGTAACTTCTAGTATTTTCATCATTTAGAATTGTTATGACGAACAGTTGTGTGAAGATCATTGGTTAGTTATATAGTTTTCACTACTATCTTTCATTAGCAAAATTTTCAACATTTGAATTATATGTGTTTGTTGTTTGAACCTCTTCATTGATGTTTAAGGCAGCAATTGATCAGTCTGGGTTCGTATTCCTATGTGAACATCATTCCTGAGATGTAAGTACATCCAACTGACGAGTCCTAAATAGAATGAAACGCGCGTCCTGGATTCTACTGCTAGTAACCATCTGATGTGTGGGCGAGAATGATAATGATTTGTTATCGGCTTAGTCAGATATGTAGATAGTCTGACAAGTGTTAGATGAGTTATATATTCCCCTATCCTTATTATTATTACGTCTCACTTATTATTGATTGTTAATTGTTGTTGGATTGTGTCGGATTTTTGGTGTGGGAATATATTTACGTTGTGGTCAGGCTAATCATGTGTTCTTGATCATATGAGTTGTGTTGATGTCCTGTAGAATAGAGGGAATAGATACTGGGAGGGAATCTAGTGTAGATATTCGTCTAAGGTAAATTAACGTCCCATACGTGGAAACGTGGAAACCCAACCGTTATAACATTAGACGAAGTATATATATATATATATATATATATATATATATAAGTTTTGTTCCTTCTATTTAATCTATGTACTTAGTCAAGTAACCATGGATGACATCATCTATAATCTGTCAGATTATGGTTTAAAGATGAATTACTTGAAGGGAATTCTCATTTTGATCAGTTCAGTTATTAAATTAGTTTTACAAATCGACTATGATGTCGTAAAGGAAATATAAAAGCAAAGTTAATCGTAAGTTTTTGATAACTGGTATAATTTTATAGTAAGAGAGATATGTATATAGGTATATCAAGGAAATGAATTACATATGAGAAATCATCAAAATTACCTTAATGTATAAATTAGGTGAAATTGAAACTTGAATATAAGAAGCTTTAGCGAGATAATAATTTATGGACGACCTTTGAGCGACATCAAAGTCACCTTGAGAGTGTCTACCTACTTAATAGAGCTAAATAAAGGTTATAAAGCAGTTTGAGAAATAAAGATAATGATTTACAATTGATGGTAAGAGTTAGGATTTAGATTTCTGATTTACATCACAAACTGACATCAGCTAAAATACCAAGAAGCTATTGAGACGAATGTGTGAGTGAATTTAGTACCAAGATCGAAAACCTGTTATCCTAAATCTCATTGGTCCGTCCATAGATTATAGTCTCGTCGAAGCTAAATAGTGTTCGTACTAGAAAAGAACGATTTTTATTTGTGAAGTTATTAATTTTTCTTGATGACCCAAAGCTTAATTTTACGTTTACTCCGTGAAGTGCAGATGGTTGAAGAAATCAATTAGAGGAGATGTTGAACGGTTAGCGTATTTTTAGCCAGATAAGTTTCTACAGATTCGTTCGCCAGACACTATCAGCAACAACCACTACAGTGGGAGAGAACAAACCAGATTCCAGCAGAGGAATAAATCAGAAAGAAGCACTGGAAGTGAATAGAACACCCACCTACGTCACAAGACAAGCCCTCACATTGAATCTTCAAGGTCAACGGAAAAGAGGAAGACCAAAGAACACATCACTCCGAGAAATAGAGACAGATATAAGAAGAATGAACAACAGTTGGATAGAACCAGAAAGGAAGGCCTAGGATAGAGTGGGTTTTAGAATGCTTGTCGGCGACCGATGCTCCATTGGGAGTAACAAGCGTAAGTAAGTAAGATGTTGACTGATATAAACTTGAGTATTGAATATTTACTTTTTCAATATTAACCATTATAAAGTATAAAAACAGTTTACAGTAATTGATCACTTAATAGTAACCAATGCTATGTTTGTCTAGTCCCTAGTACTATTAAGTCACAATTCGTCCACTAATACAAACAACTTGTCAACATAATGTAGCTTGTTTGATTTTAAACATTCAAATCGTAGATTGACTAGTAGAATCCTATCGGTATTTATGAATAAACAATATTAAATTGTTATCAGAAGGGGTTTTGTGGAGATTGTAGTAATTTCAATGATTAAGATCATGAGTCAGTTGAAGCTAGACCACCATGGAAAACCTGGTGTGAAAGATCAATTTGACTAAATATCTTTATCTTTCAGGAGACCAGTCTATATACCAAATATCAGAAGAGATTTTTATCTATATTATAATCATTTCATTAGTTGAGATCATGTGTCAATTAAAGCTAGACCACCATAGAAAACCTAGAAGCACTGAATGGCTCTTTCGTCCCATTGTAGGACTCCTCAGTAGTATACCAAATAGTTTAGTGACTTCATTACTAGATAACATTCCTACCTAACAAATCATTTCTTTCTAGATTATAGATAAATAACATGTAACATGAAAACTAGATTAAACAATGTATCCTAGGAATTACTTCCCAATCAATAATCGACATGTACTTGATTATTGTATTATAAAGGAAAATATTAAGGGAATAATATATATAATAAAATATTAATAGTTAATTAAATGGATCCCTTTGAATAAGTCGAATAGTGTATATACATAGAAGAATGAAAAGATTTCCTGGTATATTTATTTCTATTATTATTATGATTAATATTTTCATAATGAGTAGTATGAGTAGTATTATTCTCAGAGGTTTATTACTCACCATATAAAAAAAATTTCAATAATGAAAAATATTTCACCGTTAGAAATGTTCATCAAATACTTATTGATAACATTAATGGTATTCTTTTAGGTAATAATGATGATTTTGTTGTTGTTGTTGTTGTTGTTGTTGATGATGATGATGATGATGATGATGATGATGATGACAATGAAACATAGGAAATGACTTAATATTTGTTTGAATACTTTCGATAAGTTGGACGATGGTGTGGATGTTTATCTTTGTGTTTATGACGATGCTCATCATCCTCATCCTCATCCTTCTCCTCCTCATCATCATCATCATCATTATCATCCAAACTTGGTATCATTTTATCTAGTTTTTCAAACCATCCATATTTATTATGGGAAGATGAACGATGATGATGATGATGATCACGATGATCACGATCATGATCATGATGATCTTTATGACGATGATGATCAGGAGGAGGAGGAGGTGGTGGAGGATGATGATGATGCTGATGTTGATGTTGCTGCTGCTGCTGATGATGATGATAATGATGATGTCGAGGATTATGATGATGACGATCATGATGATCATTATGATAATAACTTAAATGTTTATCATTATCTAAACTTTGATAAGATTCATGTGAATAAAATTTCTCTGTTTGTTCTATTTCTTTATGTCTATTTATTTCAACTTGATCATTGTTTGTTCGATATATAGTAGATAAATCTTTTCTTATTTCTTCATGTTCTTTTTTATGTTGATGTTCTTTATGTGAATGATCATCATCATGTTTTGTTACTAAGGTTTCTGTATCAATATTCACTGATAATATTGGTATTTGTTTCATGTTATCAGATGATATTGATTCATAATGTTGATTAATTTTTTGTTTATTTGATTGAATTTTTAATAATTTCAATTGTAATTCTGTAACAAATTGATCTTCACAATTCATTTGTTTCTCATAGATACAAGTTAAATATTCTTTTAATTTATCATATATCCATTCAGATGATATTGTTTTTAGATGATTATCTTCTTTAGAAGAATATTCATAAGAATGATGATGATCATTATGATCGTGATGATCTTGATTCTGATCCTGATCCTGACGACGATAATGATCATGATGATCATGGTGATGATGATGATGATGATGATGTTTATGTTTATGATGATAAGATTGATCATAATTTTTAAAATATTGTTCATAATTCACTTTATGTTTATCATAATGTTCATTTGTTTTTGTTTTATATCCTTCATTATAATTCATTGAATTTGGTTTATAATCATAATATGATGAATCAGTCATTGTAAATGATGCTCCTTGAATTACTTTACGTGTACTTGAAGTAGTATTTGTTATAGTTGATGTATTTGAAATGTTATCATTCGTAGAATTTGAATGGGTTGTTGTTGTTGTCATTGTTGTAACTGTCTCATTCTTATCACCATTTACTTGTAATAGACCATAAACAATTGAATGGATCCAAGTTAAATATAGAAATAATATAAAGAATGATTGTAAATGTATATAGAAACCATTGAATATTAGCATGATTGAAAATAATAACTTCAATTGTATATGAATGAAAAGGAGAAAAAAAATGAAGAAAGAAATTACATTAGGGGGGGTGGAGTGGGAAAAAAGTTTATCAAATTAAAAGAATAATATTTTATTGATTGAAAAACTATTGAGTTTGTTTGTTTGTTTTTTTTTATTTACGCAAATGATCGATTTGATATAATTAAAAAAAAAACAAACGAGCAAACAGAAATTAAACTTTTACTGTATCGATTATAAATGCACTTTGATGTTAAGTGGGGGGGGTGATAGGGATGATGGTGGAATGGTCAATTTATAGTGCAATTTCTTTTTCTTTTTGTTAAACATTAATCAATAAATGGTTAAAATTATTAATTCAATAGATTTTGTAGTGTAAATGTAATTCATTTTATCTTATTGCATGTTTCTTTAATTGTTTTGTTTTGTTTTAATGAACAAATAGTTTGGTAAACTATATTAAGTTTTTGATTGAGATCATGAATCCACTGATGTTAGACCACCGTTGGAAACCTGGAAGCACTGGACGGTCGTTTCTTCCTAGTATAGGACTCAACCTCAATACTGATAATTAACATGTGCTCACTAGTGACTAGCTTCGTGAGGGAATTCTTGAAGTTCTACTGAGAAGCCGTGACCAGTGGAGCTAATCCGTGTGGGGTAGAGACAGGTATCTACCTCAGTACAATGGAAGATGGTCGCGCAATTTCGTGGATTGGTTGATGTTAGACACTAACACCATTGGCTGCCGGTTCATTGGTCCAGTAGTTTAACCGTTCTCTCGTGAGACTGAAGGCCCTGGGTTCGAATTCCGCGAGTGGGATCGTGGATGTGCATTGTTGAGGAGTCCCATACTAGGACGAAACGGCTGTCCAGTGCTTCCAGGTTTACAACGGTGGTCTAACATCAGTCGATTCATGTTCTCAATCAAAAACTTAATAATCTCCACAACCCCAATACTGATAAACTATTTTATCAGAAATGGTTTTGTGGATATTATAGTAATTTTAATGGTCGAGTTTCATGAGTCAATTGAAGCTTGACCCCCATGGAAAACATGGAAGTACTGGACGGGCGTTTCGTTCTAGTGCTGTTGAGGAGTTCTACAGTAGGACGAAACGGTCATCCAGTGCTTCCAGGTTTTTCATGGTGATCTAACTCCAATTGACCCATGTATCTCAACTATTAAACTATATTAGTTCCGTAGAAGATGTAAACAGATTTTAAATAGAATTTATTATTTGATCATTTGAAGTTAATTCAAATTATGGATTGAGTTTAATTATAAGAATCATTAAAAATGGAGGAATATTAAATAGATTTTTTTTTCGTTTTATGGTTAATACTCATGACTTTGCCAGGAATTGATCCTAGTTGCTTTAAACATTGAATCAATATGTAACCTGTAGATCACTAAATTGGTATTCAATGGTTTGCATTTCTGAATGTAGTCAATTTGTTATATTGTATGAACATTATTGACTATCTCATACGCAATTTGACTGAACTTCACTGATTACGGTTTCTTACTAGAACTTTGATAATTACTTCTAGAAGTTAGTTACTAATAAGGATATGCTGGTGGTAGTTATGGTAATTGTTGTATTTTAAGTTTCACATCATGGAGCAACTCCAGTTTGATAATCTGACATGGATAGGGTGATATCTTAATTTTCATAGTCACTGTTCAATTCATTACAAACGTGGGTTAATCAATGGCTTATTCAGTGAAATAAATCATATTTATACTAACGATACTATTGAAGTAGAGATGAAATTCCTGACTGAAATGTTAACGATTAATGATTATTCATTGAAGTTCATAAACCGCTAGACTGGATTGCAATACGATTAGATTTATGACGCTTCTGGCAACCAAATAGTGAGTTTACATTATGTTACCATATAGAGTCAACTGAAATAGACTTTTGTTGAAACGGAGACTTAAATGCAGCCCGACTTGTTATTATTGAAAAGATAAGGTCTATGTTTCAACAAAAACCTAAACAGTACGTAAGTGATTGTGTCTACCAATTTACATGTATATGTGGAAACACGTACATAATAAGGAGCAATCATGACCTTCATTTAAAGGTGGCAGAACACATACCCAAATGGCTGCAGAAACAAATGAATTGCAATGGTCAAATAAGATCACAGGATAGACAGACATCATCCTCCATTGCGAAACATTTGGTTGAGACTGCTCATAAAATTGATATCAAGTCATCCTTTGTAGTTTTGTACAAAAGCCTTCAAGAGCGTATAACTAAGATTTATTGAAACCTTGGCTACACGGAAACTGAAAACATTTTTATGTGTTCAAAAACAGTTTGTTTTGACCCCTAACCTACCCTGGTAATACTGATTTATTATCCAGAGTGGTTATCAGATTGTTTTCGTATACTTTCTTTTTTTGTTTGTTACGAGGTACCTTTAATCTGTCTAATTGACTTTTTTAGTTTGCATATAGAAATGTCTTAACAAGTATGTCATCATATTGTTCAAAATGTATTGCTCAATTATTTATCCTACAATTCTGATAACCTTCGTCTTCTCATTACATTATCAAAATCTGATCTTCAATCATTACCTTACTGAAGTCAGTTCATGATATGAAACTTCAAATGTAACAACTCTTATAGTACCTTTCAGCAACTTTTACGCTTGGTAACACCTTTACTATTTGATAGGTTTAAATCTAGCTTATTGTCGCCGGTGTTCAGTAAGCATAAAATAAAGTGTATATGCTAGAACTTCTAAGAAGTGACAATATGAGCTAACAATTAAGAAAACAAATTGGGGTAATAATCTAAAGTATACAAATAAGAATTCATAGTAGTTTGATAACTGAAATAGGAAACAATTATGGGAAGTATATCAATTTCTTGTAGTAGATATGAATAAAATATGAATATTAGTCACTAGATATTAATTAAATTTAATTGTTAAGATCATGAGTCAATTAAAGCTAGATCACTATGGAAAACTTGAATGCACTGGACGACCGTTTCGTCTCAATATGGGACTCCTCAGCAGCACTAACACGATACAAGTAAAACAAAGAAGTAAACAATGACAGGTTTAAGGTCAACAAGAACCAATCAACATCGAGGTGTACAGAACAAGTTGTGAACCACATGTAGAGAAAGTCGAACACTTCACTTCTATCTGAAGTTTGTGCTGATGATGATGTCGTTCAGAAGAACGATGAAAGTTTCACGACCAAACCATCTAGCTCCGAGAACAAAACTCCATCAAAAATACTTATCCATTAATGACATCGAAAAATGACTGCAAAATATCATGACTCAATTGAACTTAAAAGCGTAATCTAGTAAATGTCAACTTGTTGATCTAAACTTTAGGTACGCGACGCAAGGTTTGAATGTCTTGAGATCGATATCCGGTGGGGTCATGGATGCACACTGTAGAGGAGTCCCCTAACAGGGTGAAATAACTATCCAGTGCTTCATAGTATTGGATGATTGTCTAATTACGGTCTGTTTATGATGAAAACTGTAAAATTCGAAAATTTTTACAAGTTCTTTACATTAATAACTAAATCGAATCATACCATCATATTAAATGGTATATGCTTAGATTATGACTTATTTTATAATCAGTCATCTATGCTTCCTCTTGAGTTTAAATAATCCAGTGTACACTAAAGTTCAGAGATATACCTATCTCTTCGAATATCAATAATCTATCAATTAATTTTCTAGGTTCAGATAGTCATTAACATATTCAAATAGTATAAAGGTATTTGTAAGAGTTTAGGTTATCCCATTATTAATATTTCGAACTGAATTTGAATTGTGTATCCTAAGCTAACAATTGTATGTTGTTTATAACTACAATGTTCGGTTTATTACTGAATTATGATTGTCAGTGTAATCTAGAGCTAAACTTCAAGAAAATAAACTTGAAATTGAATTAAAGTACCAGTTAATGATTGTATTTAATCATATTCAAGTAAGGTAACTAAAAATCACATGTACTCTGTTTAATTAAGTAATAAGAATTGGCTACCTCTAAACTATTACCTTAGTAACCAATCCGTTGAGATATGAAATGACTACTAATCAGACTTTAGCTTAAATCGAATTCCTGATTACTGTATTCGATTTTTGTTTAGGTGGAAGATAAAGAAATTTCATCGGATCGGTTACTTAGTGAGTTGGTAAGGTACTATCAGTTCATGATGAAAACATCGGAATAGACAGAAAAACTATCAATGAAATCATATATTTATTTATTTCAATACATAAACACTGGTACAAGGAGGCATCAAACAGATATGCGCTACATAAATCATCCGATTAACGTGAGGGATGGTATACTGCCCGGGTGCTCAGACCGAAGTAGGTTGTTTACTTAGGAGAACCAGACCCCAAGCCTTTGACTTACAGGTCTAATCCACAAGGCAGTGGAGCAATGTCAGGTGGTTCAGTCCCGTGGTAGCCGGTGACCAACGATTGGTTCATACGCCATTTGTTTTCTTGGGATCTTGGAGCCCGTGTACATTATTGGTTTGGAATGACGGTTTTCCGACTACCCTAGGTGGACGCTCCATGTGCACTAGCTCTGTTAAAGCACCGAACATTCACTTTTCGTCCTTTCAATCTCCTCAACAACAATAATGCCACTAGAAGACAGTGAGTAGGACTTCCGTGGCAGTGGTTGTATACACGTGACCATATAAGAGCATTTCGATAAGGAGAGATTACCCTCCCCACTTTCGGCCGTACTAGGGCATTTGGGGGCAATGAAATCATATAATTTGACCATTACTACTAGTTTTAATCACTGACTGACTTCAGCAAAAGAACATTTCATTCTAGGTTGTGACTTCTTATCAATGCCCAACCTAAACGTTTAAGTCTGAAAATGAACATGCTACCTTTATACTTTTGAGTTTGTATCCAATAATTCATAGTTCATTGAATGCAGGAAATTACGAGACAATCACCAATTTACTATTAGTGACA